CCGCAGGCACCGCCGCTGTCCCGCCTCAGCCCGGCAGCGCTCGGGGGAAGGCGGCTGCGAACGCCACGGAATGGCTCTGCCGTATGGTTGGGCACAGCCACCCCCGGGACCCCGCGCCCTGAGGGACAGCCCGAGGGACAGCACCGCCGCAGCGGGACCCCGCGGGCCGGGGCACGGCCCCGAGAGCATTCCCGTCCCGAAGCGCGCTCCGTTGGGGCGGTCCCGGGCACATTCCCGAGGGACCGGCGGAGCGGGAGCGGCCCCGCACGGTGTCACGGCCCCGGTGCCCGGGAGGGGGCGACACTCGTTCGAGGCGCTCCGTGCCCGTTCCGCGCGGGGGCGCTGGAGGCTCCCGGCGCTCCGCCCCGCCGGAGCAGTAGAGATGGCGGTTCGCTCGCTAGAAGGTCAGCGCGGCGCGGGGCGTGCTGGGAAGGCGGGGTCTCCCTGCGGRCAGCCATCTTGTCCTGAGCGGGCCGAGCCGAGGGACGATGAAGGGGCTCCCGGTGGCCGCGCGTTCTCTCTCGGTGAGCGGGGCCGGGGTGCGCCGTGCGCGGGGCGGGAGAGGCGCGATTGGCGGTGACAGCCGTGCTCCGGGCCCGGCGGCTGCGGGCGGGGCTGACCCCGGCCAGCCCGGGCCGGTGAGGCGGGCGGGGGGCGGCGGTGGCGGTGGCGGTGGCGATGCAGCGGGGCTGTCGGGCTGTTCGCCGGGCCGGGATGGCTGCCAGGGACGGGACCGGGGCCGGGCGGGCGGCGGAGCGGGGCGGCGGCTGAAGGTCAGACAGGCCGCGGGCCGGGCCCGGAGCGTTCGCGGTGAACGGCGCTCGGGGTTTCTCCGGAGCCGCTGCGGCTGCTCCAGCCGCCTGTGACCCGGCAGTGCCCTTGGCACGGGGCTTGGCGTGTCCCTCTGCAGGGAGGGGACAGAGGGGATGTCCTGCTCAAAGGTGCAGCCGGCAGCAGCTGAATTTAACCTGTGTTAGATCCCCCTGCTAAATGTGTTCGAACAGGATGCAGAATGACCTCTTGAGTGACAACGTGTCTGTGAGTCAGATTTAGACATGCACTAGTAGTTAATAAATAAGTAGATGAACAGGTTAAAACTTGTGTCGTACCAAATCCTTGTTTGGGGAAGAAAGGAGGTTTTTTTAGACTCCTACAGCGGACAGTCTCTGGTAAAGCAATGGGAATTACATCACTGACATCCCTACAGCTGAGTGCAGCACGGTTTCTGCCACTTGGTTTTCAATTTGAGATGTATGGGGATTCAGTTGCTTATTAATGTGAAAATCAGAGTAATAGGTAAATTTACAAGWATAAGCAGCTTCTAAGGAGGGTGAAAAGGAATAGCATTTCAGATTTGAAATCAATAGTCTTGCCATTTTTGTTGCCAGCTGTTGAAGGCAGGGCTCTTGTGATGCTCACCTCTTTCAAGTGAAGGACTGCTTCTGATTATTAGAATCCTAGAATCATGGAATGCTTTGGGTTGGAAGGGATTTTAAAGATCATCTCATTCCAGTTCCCTGGCATGGGCAGGGACATCTTKCACTATCCCAGGCTGCYCCAAGCCCCATCCAACCTCTCCTCACAGACTTCCAAGGATGGGGCATYCACAGCTTCTCTGGGCAATGTTCCAGTGCCTCATCACATTCATRAGGAATGTGATGTAAATCATAGCACAGGTTCTGACTGATGTGAAAAATAATCAGAGGAATTGCAAACGAATCACTGGTTTTACTCCAGTGTTTGAAGACCTTAACTGTATTTCTGCTTTAAAATGAATTTCTTTTTTATTATAGAAGGAAACATGTAATGAACTAATTAAGGAAATCCGTTCTCTTATGTTTTCTCCTCTAGAAGAGACTTTACTCACTTAAAGTAGTTCCTAAAGTTTCACCCTCAGCAGCTGCAGYGAAAGTGAAATTAGGTCCACAGTGTCAGGATCTTGAGGTCAGTATAAAAACACAGGTTGGTTTTTTCCACCCTCTTTTTTATTTATTTTTTAAAACTCTGTTAAAGCAGAGCCATGATAATCCACTGAATGAAAACAAAGGTTTTTTTTCTTTTTAATGCAGATCACAAAATTACCAAATGGCTTARTTATTGCATCTCTGGAAAACTTTTCTCCAACATCAAGAATTGGTGTGTTTATTAAAACAGGCAGCAGGTATGAAACCACCAGTGACCTGGGAACTGCTCACCTGCTTCGTCTTGCATCTAATTTGGTAGGTGTTTGTTACCTTTGTTATTATGTTGACAGTAGATGAAATGGTCAAAGGTGTGTTACTGCAAAAATAAAAATTGCCTTTTTTTAATGTTTGTTTTAATAGACCACTAAAGGAGCTTCCTCTTTCCGGATCACTCGTGGCATTGAAGCTGTCGGGGGCAGCCTGAGGTTTGTAACCCCACAGAAAGATAATCTGTTGTGATGAGATGTGAATGAACTCTAAGATGTTGTAAATTCTGATGGTCACAAGACACTTGCTATTGCTTGAACACTGAAGATGTGAGTTTTAATTGTGTCTGTTTTGGCTATGTGTGTGTTTATCACTCCTTTAAACAGCCATCCCAAACAGATTTAAGGTTGAGCAGTTATTCCAGTCTGTATCTTGCTGATGAATTTGATCAATATGTAGGAATATATGTGAAAATTCATTTCTGTGTTCTTTGCTGAGRTGGATTTTGTTTTTATTTCTCATGCAGTGTGCACGCAACAAGAGAGAAGATGGCTTAYTCTGTTGAGTGTCTGCGAGACTACGTGTGGGTATCTGGAGAGGCTGTAAGGGGAATTGCTGCCTTCTTACAAACTGCTTGGCAGTGAAGACCTGTCATTTTACAGAGTGGGAGGAATATCTATTCCCATGCTTTTGTAATAAATCTGTAAATTACTATATTAATATTCAACTTCTGTGTCATGTTACTAAGCATGCAAATGCTACAGAATTGGAAGTTTAAATTACCCTTCTTTGTGCAGCAGTGCTAMTAACTGCTCTGGCTGGAGGGATGCATTTGGTTGTTCATGTGTTGCTTACAGATTAGTTTGAATTGATTTCAGCTGCTATTTGTGTTTAATGCTTTTTTAACTTTTTTTATCTAGTGATACAGTAATGGAGTATCTTYTGAATGTCACCACAGCATCAGAGTTCAGACCATGGGAAGTAGCTGATCTTCAGCCAAAATTAAAACTTGATAAAGCAATTGCACTTCAGAATCCTCAAGTTGGTAAGTGTAWTTTCTGATCCACTGTATTGGCTCTGTGGGAGTTCCTTCAAAATGAAAAAATAGGAAAAAAAAATAGTTTCCCTTTTGCTCTGTCACATGACCATTTAATTTTTCAGCTTKTTCATCGGTATGGTCTTCTTGTTCTTCTGGAACTTACTTAATACACTGATTTTCCCAGCCTGAAGACAATAGCATCCTTCATCTGAGTAGGGAGATAGATAAAACACCTAAAAAAGTTACAAATAGTACTGTAAAGAGCTCCTGTTCTTTCTCAACAACAAGGGACGCCTACAGTGAAGATGATTATGAAATTAATTAAAAGGATGTTGGGGTGTGGTTTTGTTTTCTGCTGCTCCTCKTCTTCCAAACACTAATTGCATTTATAACTTGCTGTTGAAGCCAAAAAGTGTTGAGCAYATACAAGTTATTAGTTTGTTTTGGTTTCTTTTAAATAAGTTACAGAAGAATAGAAGGCCTCAGGCCAGACTGCTCCAGCCCAAGGATTTGGATGAAACTGCCATATAAATTGGATTATTCCAGCCCTGCTTTTGCAGATCTTATCATCCTTGAAGTGGAGCACAGCCCACCTTCATTTAGTTTCATTCATARTCTTCATTACATGTGGCTCTTATATTAATCATCTGAAACTTTGTTCCTCTCAGGAGTGCTGGAAAACTTGCATGCTGCAGCYTACAAAAATGCTCTGGCAAACCCCTTGTATTGTCCAGACTACAGAGTTGGAAAAATTACTTCTGAGCAGGTAAGGTTATTTGTGTTGTGTTATATACCTGTTTCAGATTTTTTGTCAGGAATAGATAGTGACAGTTGTGAGAGAAAATTAATATAGTATCTATACAGTCAGTATYTACTGCCTTATTGATCTGATGTTAAAATAATATATATCCATGCAGGTTTTAGTGCTGGGTACAGAACTCAGGTTCACATTTAGAGAGGTGGTTAATGTCAGTGGCTTTCTGTTGATAGTAAGGCTGCCAGTGAAAAACAGGTGTTCTTGTATAGAAGGATTTTGTAGTTGGCACTGGGGAATGCAGTAAAATTACATTCTATAGGCAGTTCCTTTTGGAAGCTTTGGAATTAGCTTTAAGAAGTATAAGAGGCTATGTCAGAAACACACGATTTTTGTTCTTTAAACAAAATACCCTAAAATATTAATTTATTGTTGCAGCTTCACCGTTTTGTACAGAACAATTTCACAAGTTCAAGAATGGCTCTTGTAGGAATAGGTATGTATKTTCCTCAATGGACACTGCAGGTCACACAGGAAAACTGCTGGAGAAATTTGAATTCTCTGTAGAAGTAAAGTGTTACCATAGGCTTCAAATGCTTCTATTTAACTGCTGTAGTTTTGGAATGTCATTGCTTTASTTGAAGTAACTGTTGTATTGCAGGCATAGAGCACTCTACCTTAAAGCAAGTTGCAGAGCAATTCCTAAATATCCGAAGTGGAGCTGGTGCTCCTGGTGCAAAGGCTGTTTATAGAGGAGGTAAGGATGTTCTTGTATCTGTTCTGAGTGACTGATTTGCTGTTTATAAATGTAGTAATACTCAAAATTACAACTGAAAACTATACAGTTGGGCACTGAAAGTGACAGTTCAGATGTGTATCCCATTTGAATAAGCAGAAGTTTCCACCGTGGAAAGTTCTGGGATAAAGCTGAACCCAGCTCTTCAAAATAGTTTTGCCTGYGACATCATTTTTTCTATAAAGTGAAAAACAAGCTGACATATGGTTTCTCTGGGCAGTAAGGTACTTGGTTTTGTGCTAGCAAGAAAAATTGTGAATGTGAAGGATTTTTTGAAATTATCTGCAGCTCATACTGTCCTGAGTGAATGTGCAGTAACTTCAGGCCCTGGCTTTTATCTGTTTTTCATGCCTCTGAATGTACAGTAGTTTCTAATGAACACTGTATTACCTTTTATTCTGTTGTATTTCCAGGAGAAATCAGGAAACAGAATGGTGATAGCCTTGTCCATGCTGCAATTGTRACAGAAGGAGCTGTTGTGGGGACCCCAGAAGCAAATGCCTTCAGTGTCCTTCAGTATGTTTTGGGTGCTGGGCCCCTTGTCAAGAGGGGAAGCAATGTCACCAGCAAATTGGCCCAGGGTGTTGCTAAAGCAACCAGCCAGCTATTTGATGTAAGTGCAAAGGATTACTGTGTTCTGATTTTGTAGTAAAATGTGCATTATCTTTGAGAGGTTACTACCTTCAGCTAGAATCTGAATTAGTTCATTCTTGCACACATTACAGTGTATCAGTGAACGTCTTCCAATCTGATCTTTCCTCAGCACAGATAATTTAGCTTCCTGTATTACAGTATTTAGATCCTAATAGTAATTATTTTCTTATGCTTGATGCTCAGTAACTCTGGTACTTGAAATGGTTGATGATAATGTTTGTTTTGCAGGTTTCTGCATTTAATGTTAATTACTCTGATTCTGGGCTCTTCGGGATTTATACCATATCCCAGGCTCCAAATACTAGGGAGGTGAGTTGCTGATTAGAATTTAAGTATTAATAACATAACTTTCAAAGTAGTGGTTTGATTTGAGATAGTGACTTACTCATCAAAAAAAAACAAAACAAGCTTTTCTTAGCTTTGTTATAAAGCTGTTCAGAATTGTGTTTGGACAGACAATCCCTATATTGTTAGCTGTTCTTCCCTTGAAGTGTCCAAGATGTCAGATAATAGAAATAACATGTTGAAATTTAATGTGGGAAGAAATTTGAAATGATTTCATTTTCCTCAGGTGATTAAAGCTGCTTTGAACCAGGTAAAGGCAGTTGCTCAGGGCGGTGTCACCGATGCCGATGTCACAACAGCAAAGTAAGTGTGCAAAGAACTCCCATGTGCTGTAAAGAGAGGTTTCTTAATATGTAGCTGCTTGTCAAACACTCAGACTATTCTGTACAGCAGAGCTTATCCTGTCATTTCCATGGGAAACTACTCCTGGTTCTGCATTAAAACCTCAGACACAGTTTTACTTGCAGAGTTTGGCAATTCAATCAGAAATACCAAGCTACTTAATAGTAACCTATTGGAATAAATTTTGTCTTTCTGTCTTTAACAAAAGAAGGACTGGCTTATAAAAATACGGTTTTTATATGTTGCAGTGCATGAAACACAAAAACCAAACTCACTGTATTTTAACAAAACCTGTAACTATTACAGGAGGAGCCTGACCATTTACATTTACTGCTTCTTTGTCATAAGAAAATTGTTCTGCATGCATCTGTTTTTGATAAGAAACATCAGTTTTAAACTTGATAGTTTGTCTAACTGCATTAGTTACCTCAGACAGAATCAARTCCTGAGCTAGAGATCTGACCRTGTGGGGARGCAGKAGGTGTTCAAGTACCTGTCCTTTTCATGCTTGGACTGTTTGTGGTGCCTCTTTCCTAACTGCAGCATCCTTCTCTATTAGAAAAACAAAACCTCTCAGAGTGGGGCCCTGAAAAGTTTAAAAGGACCAAAACCTCACTGTATTTATGGGGTGGTGGGGAAGGTAATAGCAGGACTCACAAGCTTGCTCATTCTTGCTGTTTTATTTGATGGCAGAAATCAGCTGAAAGCCAACTATTTGATGTCAGTGGAGACTTCAAAAGGGTTGCTGAATGAAATTGGCTCCGAGTCCCTGATTTCTGGCACACACACATCCCCATCTGTTGCTGCTCAAAAATTCGACTCTGTAGCTACTGCTGATGTTGTGAATGTGAGTATGGAATGATGTTGGAATCTACAGGTGTTCCTTAATCACTAGGTCGGGATTTTTATGGAAAACTGATGCTCATTTCTGTGTGTTTATAAACACACATGGACTGTTTTTAAAAATAGAAAAGGCAACTCATTTACAAATCCCAGCTGGGTGTCTTTTGATGTCTTTATTAACAGAAGACTCTTTAATCCAATACACTGTAAAACTATTGTAGCTGGGAATTATGTAAAATTCTCATCTTCTTCATTTAAATTTACCAAAATTGCCAACTAATACTCACGGAAAATTTTGTATTAATTCCAGTGCAGGTGATTCTGTGTCAAGGTTTTTAGGATTCATGAGTCTAAAATAATGAGTGTGTTTAATAAAACAATTAGGCCTTCAGTGATAAATTGATGTAACTTCATTTCTATTGCACATTGCCTTGTTGCTTATACATGAAGCAAATTTCTAAAAATCCATCCTAAAGAGAAATTCCAAGATACAAAATCAGTTTTTTCAGTCATTGTTTATTTGTGTTGCAGCAGCAACTAGCAATAGCTTTAGTAGTGAGGAGAGATCCACTGTATGATATGGTGCAATAATTATTCTAGGAATATCCATTTTTAGAGTTTATGCCTTTTATCTCCAACTGTCAATCTGCCACATCTGTTTAGATTATAAAGTAATGAGCAGCTGTATTAGAGGTAATTCAATTTATGCAGCAAAGGGAAGATTGTTTGCATGATGATATATTATAGTAGTGCCAGGATTTGTTGTTTTAGTAACCTGATGCTGAGGCTATCAGTAGCATCAACTTTGTCATAGTGAATCTTTCCTCTTGTCCACTTTCCTGATCCATTTTCAGGCTGCAAAGAAGTTCGTCAATGGGAAGAAATCAATGGCAGCTGCTGGGGACTTGGGAAATACTCCTTTTCTTGATGAGTTGTAAAATCAAATCTGGGATGCAGATTCAAGATGGACCTGAGCTCTAAGTCACCTATGTTCTAAAAGAATTGCTACTAACTTGTTCTTTCAGAAAATTAATCTGGAGTAATTGTGGGCTTGCACTCATCAAATAAAGTGCTGAGTTCATACATTATGTGTAGAAGTTTTCTTCACTGAAAATGGTACATAAAAGGCTGCTACCGGTAGCGCCGCCTTCTTGGTAGCCCCGCCCATTGCCCGCCGACAAGCCCCGCCCCCTCCGCTGGAAGCCCCGCTCTGAGGGGAAGCCCCGCCCCGCCCGGGGCGCGCTGAGGGGAAGCCCCGCCCCCTCGGCCCCGATCTGAGGGGAAGCCCCGCCCCCTCGGCCCCGCGCTGAGGGGAAGCTCGGCCCCGATCTGAGGGGAAGCCCCGCCCCCCCGGCTCCGCGCTGAGGGGAAGCCCCGCCCCCCGGCTCCGCGCTGAGGGGAAGCCCCGCCCCCCGGCCCCGCGCTGAGGGGAAGCCCCGCCCCGCCCGAGGCGCGCTGAGGGGAAGCCCCGCCCCCCGGCCCCGCGCTGAGGGGAAGCCCCGCCCCCCCGGCTCCGCGCTGAGGGGAAGCCCCGCCCCGCCCGGCTCCGCTCTGAGGGGAAGCCCCGCCCCGGCCGGCCCCGCGCTGAGGGGAAGCCCCGCCCCGCCCGGCCCCGCGCTGAGGGGAAGCCCCGCCCCGCCCGGGGCGCGCTGAGGGGAAGCCCCGCCCCGGCCGGGGCGCGCTCCGGGCCCGCGGGTTCCCCTTCCGGAGCGGCCGCCGCCCCCCCGCCCGCCGGGTTCGCTTCCGGCGCCGTCCGGGGTCCGTTCCTGCCGCCGCCGCCGAGCGCGGCGCGGGGCCCATGGAGCCGCGGCCGTGAGGCGCCCCCGGCCCGGGCCCGCTGCGGGAGCCGGGCGGAGGCCGGAGCCGGGTGCCGCCGGAGCCGGAGGAGATGGACAAACTGACCATCATCTCAGGATGCCTCTTCCTGGCCGCCGACATCTTCGCCATCGCCAGCCTGGCGAACCCGGACTGGATCAACACCGGCGAGTCCGCGGGTGAGGGCGGCCGGCGGCGGGACCCGCCGGGGTATGCGGCCGGTGTCCGGGAGAGGGCTCCGGCAGCGCCCGGGGGCTCGGGGCCGGGCGGGGTGCGGGCCCGGGGCGGCGGTGGGGCCGGCGTGAGGCGCCGGGGGGAGGCCGGCCCGGGGGGCTGCTGGTCCCGCGGCTGGAGGGCGGCAGGGCCGGGGCCCGGGGGCTCCCGGATCCGCTCCCCTTGGGCGGCGGTGGGTGATGTGACCGGGGGGATCTGGTGGGACCCCAGCCCCGCACAGAGCCCCAGCGGTGCCTCTCGCCGAGCCCGGTCTCCCGAGGGTTCCTGCAAAGCCCCCGAGCCTTCTGTGACTCCGGGAAGCCGAGGGCCAGGGCAGCATCCCYGCCTGTGCTTCCCAGGTGCCGTCACCTTGGACAGGGAATTGAGATCTGTCTCCGCTTARTTTGCAGCAGGTTTGGAGTCTTTTCGTACTACACTGACCGTTTCCTTTGTTGCAGGGAAGTTCTTGCTTTCCTTCATCTTTTTTCCCCCCAGAATGTTTCCTGTATGCTGATTTTTATCAGCTTCTAAGCCGAGATCCCATATGTTTTTTATTTTAGAGTGTGACATTGTTTTCTTTAAAGAACAAGGATTTGTGCATCAGTCTTTTTACTAATGATGTAATTGTTTCTRTGGACAGTTTATTTCACCCTGTTGATAAAGACCTGCATGTTCTGCTCAGTGGAGCMGGGACAGAGAACAGGAGGAGGGCAGTTCATTGGTCTCATGTCTCAGAGGAACCCAAAGTTCACTCTCAGGAAAGGAAGCCATCCTTTCTGCAAACAGATTTAAACTAACTTAACYACTTAGACCGTCACRRGACTTGAGGGAAGWSCATGAAGCTGTGCCAGGGAWGGTTTAGGTTGGGTATCAGAGSGTGGTTGGTCACTGAAGAGGCTCCCCAGGGCAGCGGTCACAGCACCAAGCCTGTGTGTGTTCAARAAATGTCTGGACARTGATTTTTGGGGCTGTCCTGTGCGGAACCAGGAGTTGGACTTGATCCCTCTGAGTCCTTTTCAGCTCAGGATATGATTCTGTGATCTTTTCTAAACTTATCATTTCCAAGCAAACAGGTTAGTACAGAGAAAACTGGACTGGGTGTAGAGACTTCTATCATAAATTCTGGCAGAAACTTTAAAAAAATTTCTTCATATGGCTTGCATCTTCCATGTCTAATATTCAGTGCATGTAAACGGACTGATCTGGTTCAAACTGTGTCATATTTCCTTTATTCTAATGAAGCAGAGTATTAAAAACATTGGCTGTTAGGGTTGATGACTGTACTCTTCCCAGGCTGTACTTACAGCTTATTTGATTTTCTTTCTAATTACCTGGTCTAGAACCCAGACTTTCCTACATGGTTCAGAGTAGAGGAACGAGTCCCTTCCTAAGTGCAGCCTTCAGGAACTCCCTGGGTGACTTCACCATTCCTCCTACAGCTAATTGTGATGATCTTCCTGCCTATGGCTAGATAAAATGGTTGGTTCTTTACTCTTTTAATTCCACCTAACAGCAGTGCTGTGGTAATGAGCCCTTCTTCAGGGCTTAAAGTCAAATAAAATAGTATTCATTTCAAATATTTAARTATGTTTTTCTGAAGTCCTGCCTCACATTAGCAGATCCTGTGCAATATGTAAGGTGTTGGATTCTCTCTGCATGTATAGAAACGAGATAACAGAAACTATTCTGAAAAAAGTGGTCCTTTGAGAACTAAGCACAGTCCGTTCTTTCCTAAAGAAAAATGTTTTATATCTCTTTGTAATACAAAAATGGTTTCCTAAAGCATTTTAAGCAGCAGTCATTATTTCTTAGTTTCTTGGTGGATGATTACTTAAGAATCATCTGCCATTTCTGAGGTGCAGCTAACAGTTTTAATTAGGCTGGCAAACATGAAATCTGTATGGATTTTTCTGAAGGACTTCACTAAGCCTTTTGACAGACCTAAGCCTTTTTCTTTCTTTGCTCTATTTTGAAGCCAAACAAATTGTCTTGATAAAACCATAAAAGAGAGCTAGCTGCCACCCTTAATGACTCTTTTGTAGAATTTTATTGATACAGGTTTCAATGCATTATCATAAGACTTTTGCCTAAAAGCAAAACAAATGTGTATTTCCAGTGCTTAGACCTTCTAAAGGAGCCTTTGGCCCAAACTGTAAAGAAAGGAAGTGTGGAGATGCCCATTGAAGCAAGGACTTCCTGYAGTATTGAATTGTGAGGTGAAGGCTTTATGAGTGCCATTCATTAGGCAGAGGCTGCTGGGGAGAGATACAGCACAGGAGGGATGGTGAAACCTGTCCCAGCTGCCGGTGACATTCAGGGACTCTCAGCAGACTTCAGTGCTTGGAGTGTGTCCAAGGCATCCAGCTTCCATATGTGCCACTGAGAAGCAGGGTTTTTTTGGAGCATCCTGTGCTCAGCTGGTGAAAGGAACTATTTGGTGAAAGAAAATATTGCTTTGGTTTATCTGTGCATTCTTAGGTTCATSTCCTGTGGGAATTATTCTGGATTCTGTTTCTACAAGTCAGCCTAGTATCAAGGAGGAAGGAGGGGTTAATAGTGTTCCTGTGCTTGGCTGCTGTCCTGGGGTTCTGAAAGGCAGCGTGGAGCAGCCTGGTCTCCTCAATACTGCAGCTCTTGGAGGAGGGCACAGAGCAGAGGTCTTGGCAAACCTGGCTCATTCAGAGCTGYTGTAGCCACTAAGGCTGGGAACCTGGGCTTTATGTTTCAGAAAAAAAGATCTGTTCTGATTTGGATGCTAAACAATATGTACCTCTTACTCCAGAGATAGTGATGATTTTCRGCTAAATTGGATGGCAAAATAAATCACTGGCTTTAAAGCTTTTCTGAAAAATCTAAATAGTTCAATTTTTAAAAAATCAATGGAGAAGGGCTGATTAGTCTCCTAAATCTTACTCTTAAAGATAAGTTTTACAGTCATTTGAAAAATGCTGGCTATAAAAATTTCTCCCTAGCAATTACGAGCAAAGGATTGCAACTGAAATTATTAAAGGTCTCAGATGCCTGTCTGTCTTTAGGCCAGAGGAACTACACCTTTGTGGRCATGGGTCCAAGTCTCTGTTGGGCACTTTATGTAGTTTTGTAAGAATTGTTCATTAAMTTGGTTTCAGATCTTTCATACATGTTTAAGATGATAAAGGAAAGATGAAAATTAAATGGATTTTTCTTGCAGTGAGTTCTCAGTGAGGTTTTGTTATTCGTGCTGTGCAAGTACAGAACACTGATAACTCCAGTCAGAAAACCAGTGGCTGCTCAGTATTCTTGCACTGACTGCCTTTTCTTATCAAACTGACACTGTGAGAAATAAGGACAGAGTTGGCTTTAATTTAAGCCAGTGCCCAAAGTGCCACTGATTTCAGYAGGAAGGAATTTTGCTCCTGTATCTCTACACTTCTGCAAAAGAACTTTATAAGCTGATAGTTTTGTCTCCATATGTTCCTTTTTTTTGTGTGTGGGAGGGTCTTTAATGATTTTGATATTTTGYCTTCAGTAGGGGAGGAAGGGGGATTGAAGCAGCTCTAGCTTCAGCTCTCAACCCTTTTGTAGGAGAAAGGGTATGAATAGTATGCACWGTTGAAATTAGAGATGTTAAAAGCTGTACATTTGGGGGGGTTGACAATTTGAAATGCTTTCAGGGGGTTTCAGATAGGTCAAGTAATTCAAGAGAATAATTTAATCAAGTAAAATCTTCAGAAAGCTAAGCTATCAGTTTGTTTATGTGGCTTAGTCATCCCTTCCTATGTAGCATGATTGTTCATTTGATTCCAATTTACAGAACACCGTGTACCATTTTATAGCACTCATTAAGTTAACATGGATGTCAGAACTTAGGGGTGCCTAACTGATGGGTGAYTCCTAAAGCATCACACAACTTAAAGAGAGTGTAAACTTGAGTTCCAGCTGGCATTATTGTTCTAAATGAAGTCGTCTCCTCAAGATGTAGTGATATGTAAAAATCAGCATGGCATAATTTCCAGTGACTTCTGCCCTTTAGGGCCKGTGCTGAGAAGCTGTTCCTGTGCAGTGCTCCCCTGTGGATGAGCAGGTATAGAGCAGCCATGGTGCTGTGTGGTATGTGGGCAGTTGGCTTTTCCAAACCTGTCTGTAAAAGGGTTCTGGTGATGGTTTGTTAAGCACCTTGCAATATACTCAAAACACAGTRTGCATCTYCYRGTTCTTCTTGGTAGAGAATGATGGGACACGATAGGAAGCAATTCCACAAAATTACCTTTCCCTAATGTTTTTTGTGCTATCACGTAGTGACTGTGACAGGAGAAGTTATTTGCCCTTTCATGAACCTGTTTGGATTGCATGCTGAGAATACAAAAAATAAAGGATGATACAGAAAATGAAGATTTATGTACCATCAGATCCTAGAGGTGAGTGCTGAAAAGCAATCTCCAAAGCCATCAGAACATCAGAGTGTTAAAATTAGATTCTGGGACATAATTTTCAGGAAAACACATTTCTTTGCTGGATGCTCCCAGGTACGTGAGCAAGGAGGGGAAGGTGGTGCTGGGTTGTGATGTGTTGCTGATCCCCACGGAGAGGGAGTAGGACCTGCTGGTTTTAAGATGCAGGCCCTGCAGCAGCACTTGTATTTCAGAGATGTTGCCTATGCCTTAAAAACAACARTACAAAACCCAAACAAGGACTAAATTCTGAACCCCATATAATCTGAATACTCTAACAAGAGTTTCCTGTTAATAGGTCTGCCTGGACTGGACTGGGAGATCAGTGCCATCTTTAAAATGGATATTTCCATTCCACTTTGTGTCTGTAGATGTCTTTCAAGTGGATGTAAAAATGTGACAGAGCAGAGTGTTTGAATTGTGCTTGGGTTCTGTAATCGACCAGGCCTTAAGGCACAAGAAAAATCAATAGAAAGACATTGTTGTAATGAATTAATTTTGTGCTTACTCAACCACTCAGCATTTAAACATATGGAACTATTTTATGTGTAGGAAGAATCTCATAAAAGAGAGCTRTGTCAGCCTGGTTATTTGAGCTTGCCAGAGAAGACATGAGGGAGCCAATTGTTTTTGTCCATAGAGGAACTGATGTTTTACATCTGCTTTTTAACAAATACAAACTAATGCTGCTCCTGTTAGGTGCGTGTTTTGTTTTCTCTTTAGCGTGTGAAGGTACAAAACTATTAGTTTGCCTTCCATCAAATCCTATTGAATTCCTCACTCTCTAATTAGAGTTTAAAAGTTAGGTAAGAAATATCTGATTATAGAGTACAGTAGAGCCAGGAACTTTTAAATCTGGCATTTGGCACAGCTGACTTTGGGTGTTGGCAAGTTGTCTGGTAGTACCCCRATTTCTTGCTCATTAAAATAGAGGTGGTATCTTTATCACAGTAACTTCTGTTAGCATTAGCAGCAAAGCTTTTAATTTCTTTTTTTTTTAAACTTTTGTTTCCTGTTAGAGTTTTACTTTATTAAACTGAGGGGAAAAATCACAGAATAACAGGAATTTCACTTGTCTTTTCTAATGGTAGTTGCTTTGGATAAGGTACTTGAGTTTCAGATATTTTGAATAACCTTTGTTGTCTTTATTTACTGTGCACAGTTGCTACAGAATTAACTTCTATTCAGTATGTGCAGATTGAGATTCGTTTTCTGTCCATCCTGTGCTTTACTCAAGAAGTGTGTAACTATAAAGCTGCTTTATAGASAGTACAATCTGTGGGAAAGGTGCCTTGTTGAGACTTCAGCTTTATGGCTTCAGGAGCTTACCTGAGTTTCATCTGTTTTTTTTTAATCAACTTAGACCTGATTTGAGGTGTGTGTATTACGTTTGTTGCCACAAACTGACATTGAAATCAACACAAGAGTAACTTAAATGTATGAATCTTAAAAGTAAAGATTGAATAGTGTGTACTGCAAAACAAAGATTTTAAATTGTCTGAAATAATAAAAAAATCCTGTTAATGGCTGGGGCTTATTAAAACCATTTGTATTGTTTAGTTTCCAACCAGCAYTTACATGTGAGCAGAATTATGTAAACTCCATTTGTACTTTTGCCAAGGCAAAGAAGATCAGTAGGTCAAACTTTTAAGCTTGACCTACTTTTTTTCATAGGTACTTCACACCAGCTCAACTTTTTCCCATTCATGCTAGTCTTGAAACATAGTAGAGAAGAGTGCCTACAAATTTAGTAATTGACAGAGTTTTTTTATTACTAAGGGCTATATGCAGGAAAAAAGTTCTTTGATAATTTTTCAGCAATCCCCTTATGTGCTCCAGCTGCTTTGCTCAATTTCACTTTTCTTCCCCAAGCTCTGACTGATGGAGATATACACAGATCTGAAAAACTGGAGATATGGCCAAGAAGAGGATCTGTGCAGGGTACGTGTTTATTTTGAGGAGAAGGGAAACAAGGTAGACTGGCAAAGCACTTGTRTTGGCCCAATTCTGTAGGGATCTGCATGGAATCAACAGTCATGGGTTATATCCCTTCTCGGTGTGAAGCTTTTGGGTTCTTCCTATGATATAATGTTTTATTTCCAGTCTGATGTATTGTCTTATGTATGTTTTTTAAATTCTGTAAATAGAGCCGATGATGGGAGTTTGGTCTCTCTTGGGTACCTTAGGAGCATCTGATTGTGATGGTTTGTCTGTGGGATGGGCCAGTCCAGTGGGAAATACCTGCTGCTTGGTGTTGGAAGTTCAAATTTCATAGAGTGTGTAGAGTGTGGTTCCTGTCTCTGAGCAAAACAGTCTGTTAGAGCTGGGTCCTTGGGGTGAGCTGAAATGCTCCCTTGTGAGGGCATGGAAAGCCTCCCWGGGATTCACTGCAGTGTTCAGAGCCAGCACAACACAGTGCCATGGGCAACACTTGGCTGCTACCCAGGAACCTCATGCTACCTGCACTGCTGTGCCAGGAATTGCAAAGCACTTTGGGACCATTAAGGATGACATTCTCTCCAGGTGTAGTGATTAATACCCCACTCAGATGTTTAAACACTTGTCCAGTTGAAGACAGTTCACATTAGGCCTTGAACTKACTTGCTGGTGAGCAGTTCTTTGTGCCATTGTTTGCACACTGCATGAGGAGGGCTGGGCTGTGGCTGGGCTTGGTGCATCCAAGAATTCAGTAATCAAATGACAGTGGTCATAGACTCTAAAGTCAAGTACTTTATTTCAGTAGTGCCCATCATGAAGCCAGCTGCCTTCCCAGCTTGTATTCCTGCAATTCTTACTCCTGGGGTTTCCGTTCTTTGTCCAGGTTGTTCTTGCGTGGTTTCCGTTTCTCTTGCTGTGAYTACTTTCTGCTGTTGGTGGCTATGTAATTCAGTTGTATTTTAGGAACAGGTATGGGATCAGAAAAGGAGAGAATAGGACAACTGATTTTGATGGCATATGTACTAATGCTCTTCGGACATTTTAGTGAAACTGCTTGCTTTCTGCAATAAAATCTTTGTATCAATCTGCAATGAGAGAGATCCTGACTTCGTTGATAAGCAGGGCAAATATACAAGTAAGGGGGAATGGTTTCGTCTGCAACATCATCAGTGTGAGCTTAATGTATCAAACATTAACAACCTCTAATTGACATGTCTTTGTACCAAAGTAAAGTTAGGAAAACTCATAAAGTGTTATCATGGGCTTCAAGTTTCCTGAAGGATGACTTTTGTATAGTGGGTGACTTGTTWGACTTGAAAATTTGCTTTGATGTTCAGTCTTCTCTATACAAAACAGAAATACTCTAAATTGAGAATTAAGAAACATCTTCTTTCAATCATAGACAGTAATCCAACAGTATTCCCACGGTCAGAGGAAGTGTCAGCTCCAGAGCTGCACCAGTGGAAGATTCTGATTTCCTTTCTTGTAGAGGAAAAAATGCACGGCTGCTTCCTCTGTGCTGTTTGTAGGCATTTCATGCTGTGGGGGAAGAGAAGTCACAAGGGTGAAGAAAGAACTTTCTTACTTTCCTTGGGATGAATTCCATTCTGAAACAAACTGTGCACCTAAATTCATGGGTTAATGATGTGCTCTCCATCACAGAAACTTCTGGGAAGAAGCATGTTTCATTTTGTTTTTTTAAGTCCACACTTACTTCCATTAAAAAGCTATGCAACAAGATCAGGAAACCTGAAAAGATTGAAGGGCCAAGGATTTCTAATGTGATCCCATCAATTCTTTCAGTGGAATATTGCTGGGTCACTCAGCAAGTTCAAGAAGCACCCTTCTTCATGTGAAGTTCACATGAAAAATGCTGAAATAAAGAGTGTCAAGGCCAGAAGTAGCAGTTGCTGTTTTACAAATGAGTCTGTTGATTTATGCCCAATGTAAGCTGAAGTAAATGTTCTGCTTAACTAGATGTTAAGTAAGATGAAGTTGGTGATAAGGACAGAACATGTCTTGGTTTATATAAAATCTAAAATCAGAGTGAATCTGTTTCAGAATGTCAAACAACTGAAAGAACATTTGTTAACAGATACGTTCTTTGGAGCACTGTGTCACATCTGGTTGCTTTTTAAGAACARTCCTACTTGTTCAGAAAGGACCGAGCCTTGCTGTTTCAATGAAGTCACATTTCAGTGAAGTGCAAATTTAACTGTTCAGGAATGATCTATCTTCTCTTATATTAGTAAAAAAAAGAGGTCTCTCCAGACTCTAGCAGTCTATTTTTGCAGATGCCAATTTGTGATAAGGGAGAAGGTGTTATCACCACACAGACAGCACCTGTTAATTGCCTAAATAATTCAGGCTTAAATTATGTAGGCTTCTAAAACAAGGAATTGCTCRAGCAAAGGCGATAAGAAAATATATGCTTGAGGATAAATCTTGAATATGCTTCCTGCATTCCTATTCTTTGTTTTGAATGTTTTTGTTGTAATGGGAACAGAAAGTAAATGCCTAAATTTTAGAATTATTACTGCAGAAGAGGGTTGGGGTTTGGTTTGGTTTGGTTTATTTTCCAATTTGCCTGAAAAGTTAAAGCKACCTTTTATATTGGTAGGGGCTTAAAATGTTAATTAGGCAGGAAACTGTGTACCAGCAGTCCTGGAGGACACCTTGTATGGAGTTAAGCTATATCTCAGTCTGTCTCTCAGCATATGAAGTGTTACTTGTAGATAACAAAATCTTGGCCCTGTGCCTAATSCCTATTTAGTGCAGTTTAACCTGTATTCCCAGTTGTTACAAGCATGTCATACACAGATTTGGCAGCAGTTAAAAGGCACCTTTCGGAAGAAGAACTAAGGTTGTGTATTATTGCACTTGAATATCATTCCAGTTGCAACAAGAGACATCTTTGGGCAAGTAGGTGCTGTTGTTCAGTTGACAAAGATGCCTTATGGACAAAACCAAGTCTAGTAGACAAAGACAGGATCTCATATCCCCAGCTAGTACTGTGGTGGTAACCTGTG